AATGACTTTGCAGAATTGCACCTTCTAGGTGACAATGACACAAAGGAGGACCCTAGAGACTACAATGAAGCAATGTCCGACATTGATTCAAGGAGATGGCATGAGGCCATGAAATCCGAGATGGATTCCATGTATCAAAATCAAGTCTGGACTCTTGTAGACCCTCCGGAAGGTATAGTACCTGTTGGAAATAAATGGGTATTCAAGAGGAAGATAGGCGTTGATGGGAACGTGGAGACTTATAAGCCTAGATTAGTAGCCAAGGGTTACAGGCAACGAGAAGGGATTGACTATGAAGAAACTTTCTCTCCTGTAGCCATGATTAAGTCCATTCGGATTTTGCTTGCTATAGCTGCGTACCATGATTATGAAATCTGGCAAATGGACGTGAAGACAACCTTTCTGAACGGCTACCTAGAGGAAGAGCTTTATATGGCTCAACCCGAAGGTTTCGTGTCCAAGTCTGAAAAGACTAAGGTATGCAAGCTTCAGAGGTCCATTTATGGACTTAAGCAAGCCTCCAGGAGCTGGAACATTCGTTTTGATACTGAAATCAAATCGTTTGGTTTTACTCAAAATGAAGACGACAATTGTGTTTATCAAAAAGTCGTTGGGGAAGCAGTTGTATTCCTAGTGTTATATGTAGATGACATATTACTATTCGGGAATGACACTGCAGTACTTTCTTCTGTAAAAGTGTGGTTGTCCAAAACCTTCCACATGAAAGATTTAGGAGATGCATCTTATGTACTTGGGATAAAGCTCTATCGTGATAGATCCAGAAAATTAATTGGATTATCCCAATCTATGTACATTGATAAGGTGCTAAGTAGGTTCCAGATGGAACAATCTAAGAAAGGTTTTCTTCCTGTGAGACATGGAATTCACCTTTCTAAGTCCATGGGACCTAAAACTCCTGAAGAGATACGGCAAATGAATACTATTCCTTATGCCTCCGCCATAGGAAGTCTCATGTATGCCATGATATGCACAAGGTCTGATATCGCATATGCTGTGAGCATTACTAGTCGATATCAATCTAACCCAGGATCAGAACACTGGGCAGCTGTCAAGACGGTCCTTAAGTACTTAAGAAGAACTAAGGACATGTTCCTCGTTTATGGAGGAGCGTCAGAGTTGCGAGTGGAAGGCTATACAGACGCAGATTTCCAATCTGACGTCGATGATAGAAGTTCCAACTCCGGATATGTATTCACTCTGAATGGTGGGGCTGTCAGCTGGAAAAGCAAGAAACAAAGTGTAATTGTTGATTCCACGACAGAGGCTGAATATGTCGCTGCAGCTGAAGCCGGCAAAGAAGCGTTCTGGATGCAGAAGTTCATCACTGAACTTGGAGTGGTTCCAACCATTACGTCACCAGTAGCTTTGTACTGTGATAATAATGGGGCGATAGCTCAAGCCAATGAACCCAGGGCACATCAAAAGAACAAGCATTTTGATAGGCGCTTTAATATCATTAGAAGATATGTTGCCGAGGGGAAAGTCAACATCCTCAAAGTTGCTTCAGCCGATAACGTAGCAGATCCACTAACGAAGCCAATGTCTCAAATCCAACTTGACCGCCATATGGAAAAGATGGGTATTAGATACATGGGAGGATGGCTTTGAGTGCAAGTGGGAGATTGTTGGAAGTATGCCCACAAAGCCACTCATTTGATGTAATAGCTTTTTGGAATACTTATTGTGTTAAACTTTTATATGTTTAATAGAAGGGCAAAGCTTATTGTTAATCACTATTTATAGTATCTTGTGTTTAAGCAATAAGGGAATCCAAGGAATGTATTTGATCTAAGAGACAAGTGATTTAAGTTAGTTAAATTAACGAGACCTTTCTCTTATGTTCATTCCTAAAACGTTCCTAGCCATAGGATTGCCAATTGGGCATTGACAATCCGCTAAGGTTAGTATGTGTTATGTCGACTCAAGCGTGAGTATGAACTAGTCTCAAGTCATTTGGTGTTGGACACTAAGGCAAACACATAGGTGCTCGAAAGAGTAATCGAGTACACTGAACAACGATCAAACAAGAGTTCGAACATACATGTCATGTGAGAACTCAATAGTTGCAATATGCAAAGTAGTCCTTTGACCTGAGGCATCATTGATGTCTAATGGTTAGGTCCTTGATCTTTGATTATGTCAACGGCATTCCATTGGAGTGTCCACGGCATTGTTGGGGTCAAGTTATCTAGTCATGTAGGCATATGAATGTACAACAAAGGATCTCTAACCTTCCATGATGGAAGGAGAATACTCTAAGATATGATTCGAGAGTCTTTGGCCAAAGCATATGAATATGACTAAGGAAGATGTTCCAAATCTTATTCAATTGAATCATATAGAGAAGTATCACATTGGATAGTAGACATGAAACAAACTATCACTTAAACAATGTGATTAAGAGTATTGTATTAGAGAAGTACCGTATTGCATTGTAGTTGTAACTGGATAGGTTCTCCAACCACTTCTACTTAGCTTGGGTAACCATGACATGCTGCTAGGCGTCACCCATGGTTTGTGGAAGCCCTAAAGATTAGCAAACACTAATTTAAGGGAGAATTGAAATGTGGTTTCAATTCACAATCGATCGTTAAGAGTAACATCGCCCACTACCTCGCTAATTGGAACCTAATGGATCGTACACCGAGTAAAGATATAAGTGAAGAAATTATATGAAATGGATAAGCAATTAAATGGTTTAATTGAAGAATGGTCAAGATTAATTAAATAGTTAATTAATTATACGAAACGTTCGTATTGGACGTTTAAGTTAGTTTTGGGCTTCGGGGCACAAAAACGTTTTGGTCCACAAGGCCCATTATGTTTAAGTTGTATGACAACTAAAACAAAATGGGCAATTAAGCCCAAATACATTATATGGCCGGCCATAACCTTAAGGGTAGTGAACTTGGCTTAATTGCAAGTTTGCCACTCCATTGTGAGGTGGTATAAAGACATCTTTATAGCCATTTCACCCTAAGGGTTTTCTAATTGAATTTGGGTGAAACCTATTCTCTCATTACCTTAGGTGAGGAACATCTAGCAATCTTTCTTACCTAAGTCATCCATTTCATCTTCACACAACATCTTTGGTGTGGAGACTTAGAGACACCAAACTTTTGGTGTTTTGGAGAACAAATCCTCAAATCCTCAAAGAAGAAAAGGAGCACTAAAAGGGAGGAAATCACAAGGAAGATTCAAGGAGCAAGGAGGTGACTTGAAGGCCCTCCACTTGGGTGAATCCCTTGTGCAATCAAGGATGAGCTTCAAGGGTAAAGAATCTCTAAATTCTTATTCTCTTTAATTTTGTTAAAGAGTCTTATGGTTCACCATATACTAGGCTTTGAAAGTCATGGGTTTTATGAATTGTTTTTGAATGCATGCCTACTTTAAAGAGTTATTAGTTTGCATATGTATTCAAATGTTCTTACATGTTCTTAGCTAGGACAAAATTTTTCCTTCACGACCATCACTCGCGGCGGCGGCACACGGCCAGGGAGCCGACATTGTGTTTTTATGCAAATTTCATTATTCTCATTATGCTTTTGAGACCTAACTGCTATGGTTTGAATATTAATATGATTGTGGTATATGTTGGATTAAATGAATATATATGGATTTGGTTTGAATTTTTGTATATGTGAACTACAAATAGTTTGATCCCTATTTAGGGTATGTAGGCAATTTAACGAGACGTTAGATGCAGCTATACAATAAGTGAGATTAAATAAACGAGACAAAGCCTTGAATGAGAAATTGCACTAAGAAAGGAGTTTGGAATTTTATTATAAAAGGAAATCTTATGTTTTGTATATTTAAATTCTAATTATAAATTGTGTGAACGTTTAATAAATTAACCAGGAAAATTAAATTGGGCCTATCATTGGAACTATTTCGCGAAAAATAAATATTTCGGGGCGGGGGCGTGACAATATGAACACAAGTACTCAAAGGAGATATATGTCTTGATCGTAAATGTGGTTCGGTCATTAGAATGCCTAACTCTAAAACCTACTTATGAGGATCATAAACAAAACTCGTCTTTTAATATGCTGAGCCTAATAACTTGTAACACCTCATTTCGTCGAAAAGACTGATGAGATGACCTCTACCAACAAGGACTCAGAAATCCTTGTTAGTCGAGACTTGGATAAATAACCAATCGGCCTCAAAGCAGTGATGTCTAGCCAAACTAAAGGTGCGTATCAGTCGGCTGGTCCTACAACTCGAATGTTGTTTATCCAAAATGAAGATGTCACTGGTTGCCTTCATATTGCTGCTTATCCAAATTGAAGATGTGTTGACGGGAAGAAATGGGAAAAGGAAAAAAATCTCAAAAGGTGTTGAGAAGCTTTGCGCAGGGTAATTTGTGTGTTGAATTGGAGAGGCTTGAACGATGCACTCCCTTCTGTATTTATAATAGCAAACCCCCTCATGGCCGAGTTAGAATTGTACTCGGATTAGAACTCCTCAACCTAATCTAATTAGGTCTCGGCCAATCCTAACTCCACTAGGACTTTGAACCAAGCTCTTTAGCAAATCAAATTCATCCCCTAATTCTCAACATCCTTAGCCTTACAACTCCTTGTTGCACTAGGTTTCGACCACCTCACCCTTGTCTAAACCAATCCCCCTCGCAATAGGACTCAGCCAACCTTGACTGGACACCCCATGACAATTCTAAATGAAAGTTACTGGGCCAAGAGTGCCTCTAAGCTCGATCCAAACTATCATTTTGGACCCAAACATTTAGTAAACGCATAAAAGTGAAGAATCAGAATAATTTGTATTCTGAATGATAATGAAGTAGTGATCGAATTGTTGGGTGCATTAGCAATAGCTTCCAAAAAATTGAAACTCATGTATTCTCTGGGCCGAGCCACCAACATTTTCTGGGCCCAAAAGCCCAACAAACTGTTCCGCCCGTAACGCAAACCCAAAAAACGTGGGCCAACGCGGTCTCGGAATCCACGTACGTCGTGCCGAATAAAAAAACAGGAAGACCACGCAGTATTTAAAGGACTGAATCACTAGGGTTTTAGTCTGTAAGCAGACTCGGTTTAGACGCGCCTTCTCTCTACCGCCGGGATCTAGGGTTTTATCCGAGCAGCGCTAAGGTACCAATCCAGCTCAAATTTCCCGATTCTAATTAGGACTCCTCCATTAATCTGTTCTTATTCGAACATTTTATTGAATATTGCAACTGTTCTTGCAGGAAATGGCTCCCGCCGCCCCCAAGAGTGGGATCTTCGTCGGCCTCAACAAAGGCCACATCGTCACCAAGCGTGAATTGCCTCCTCGCCCATCTGACCGCAAGGGGGTAATTTCTCTTCCCTTTTTAAAGTTCCATTGATTGTGCATGATTTATTTGGAAATTTTTGGTTTTGAGTTTGATTTGGGGTTTTTGATTTGTGCGGATAATATTCTGATTTGTGTGATTTGGGGGTTTTGGGATGTAGAAAACAAGCAAGAGGGTGCATTTCGTGAGGAACTTGATCAGGGAAGTTGCGGGATTTGCTCCCTATGAGAAGAGGATTACGGAGCTTTTGAAGGTCGGGAAGGACAAGCGTGCTCTTAAGGTGGCCAAGCGAAAGTTGGGTACTCACAAGAGGGCCAAGAAGAAGAGAGAGGAGATGTCCAACGTTCTCCGCAAGATGAGGTGAGATATTCTTCGGTTTTTTGCCTTTGTGGGTTAGCTTGTGCTTCTGGTTCTGTTGAAATGGTTGCATTTTTGGATATGATTAGCTTTTGAGGTCGTTTGTTTATGAATGTGTACTAATATTTATGCATAGTTGTGTAAACTTGCGGAAATCTATGAAAACTGCAATAATTATGACCCAGTGTTATGAAAACCGAGTAGTTAGAATCTTTATCACGAAAATTTTACAATAGATTATGAAATTTGTATGCTATAAACAAACTGTTTATTGTTCTTAGGACTGTCTCAAGCCCCATATACTGACATTTATGTGTCTGTCCTATTGGTGGAAGGTGATAGCTTGTTTGTGCTTTCAACTTGAGCTGTTATAGTCTGTTTGTGATGCACTTTGTTGGCTTTTTAATTGGACTAGTCGATTGTGTTGTCGCTCAAAATGGTGTTGATTGAAATTTATTTTGTTTCTCAAAAACACTGTTGCTTAATTGTAGACTTTTTCCCGAAATCTGCTGATCTCTACGAGTAAATAGTTTGTGCAAAACTTGTGCTTTTTTACCGTGAGTTGGTGAGGTAATGTGATGTTACATGATTTATTTGCCTTATGTTTGTTTTGTTATGTGTGCAGGTCTGGTGGTGATAAGAAGTGAGCACTTGAAGGGTTGTCTTTATGAATGTAGCTCAGTATCTCTAATAGTTTTGGTTATGCATTTTCGTAAGGGATTTTTAGACATGGTATGAACTTTGTAATTCCGAATGTTTTGAGACATTCAATATTTTTGTTGCGACGGATATTTGCCCTTCAGTTCTCAAGCTATGTCTTTCAAGTTTGTGTGATTTATTCATTGCTTGTTTGGTATATTATGCATGAAAGCAGCGTTCCTCTTAGTGGAGGTAGTGCTATGGTTACTAGTAATAGCTGAAGTCTAGATCTGGCATTTGCACTGTAGCAATCGCTACAAAAGGTTATGATTGTGTAAACTTATGTCTACAGGCTCTAAATTTCGTTGGGAGTTTAGTTTTTGGGTCAGAATCACTTATTAGTGTATGTTTTTCCCTAAAATCGCTTTTGGTGATTTCATGGAAAAACATTACCCCATTTTACGGATGATCACCTCTGCTCTTTTCTGAAAGTTATAGCCCTCCCAGAACCACTGTTAAAATGTCCGCAATTACATGCTTTCTGAAGTATCTCATAATTTGAGTAACCAATGAGCTTGAATTTTTATTTATTTATTTATTTATTTTTGGGTGCATTGTCCAACATTTGTGAGTGTTTTGTTCTGTCTTACATCCAATTTGCCACTGATCTACTGCCACTTTTCTTCCCAATATAGGAAGAGATTTCAAGTTCGGATTTTATGGTTCTCAAGGTAACTCTGTCCACTAAGTCGATTGCTCAGGCAATTGGGTGGACGTAATTATTGTCTTGGTGAAAAATTGTCCAAGTCATTTTCACCCCGTAAACGATTTGCCCCGGACAATTGATATTACAAAAATTAATAAAAAATTTTATGTTTAAATTTTTAACTCAACATGTTATGTTACGTGTCATTATCCGAAATACAATTATCCGAATGAATCTGCACCCTCAAGTGTAGCCATGTCCTGCTTCAAACTTAATGCCCATTGGCGAGTAAATTCTCCCATATATTTTGTACAATCACTTTTGCAAGAACTCTGTTTTCTTTTTCTTTTTTTTTTTCTTCTTTCTTTTTCTTTTTCGCAGCCTTCTTTTCCATGAGCCCTAGGTGAATGATGGATTGGTTCCGGCACTTCAAATGAGTTGCCTTCATGTATAGGCGAGTTTTCTTCTGGTTAGAGTGCAAAGAGGTGTTATTCATGACAAGTGGTGCACCATTTGACACAATTTTGTATCTGAGGCAACCTTTGACAACATTTTAAAATTCATTTCAAAATTCATGGCGGTTGAGTGACTTGTTCTTGTTTGCCATATTGTACCAAGCTTGTGCTTGAAGTACCTAAAAAAAATATGGGGAGAAGAATATTTCTATTCAAACTAAATAAAATAATGTCAATTTGGGAGTAATACAAATAAATAAAGAAAATATTGTTACCTCATCTGATAAATTTGTGCCACTTCGAGGATTATCTTGAGCTTGTTTGATGGCTTTTCTCCAACTAGTAAACAATTAGTTAAATATTTACACCAACTTGCTAGAGAATGCTTCATTATTCTACTGCCAAGCTTCTCACAAAAATAGATATTAACTCTCTTCCAAAGTTGTTGCAACTTCTGCTCATTACCTGTAATTGAGTCATGAGAAATTCAAACCCAGCATCTGCACAAACGTAACATCTTCAATGTTCGACCTATTTGAGCCTGTATCATTAGCCATTTCTTGAAAGTATTTGGAAACTTTGAGAGAAAGATTGGTTGAAAGTATTTGGAAATATTGAAATATGGTGTGGATGGAAGAGGATAGTTGGGTATTTATAGATTTTTTTTTTTCAATTTTTTTATAATTTTTTCTAACCTAATTAATATGGACCAACAAGGGACCGTTGAATTACATTTTTTGTAATCCAAAAGCCCAGATTTAGCCACACGGGGCAACGATAATAAGGTATTTTTTGATGATTTTTCTTCAAGACAAAAAAATTTTGGACTGTTGATGATATAGAAGTTACACAATCTAACGGCTCTTGCACCATGTATATTAGTCATTGGAAATCCAATGGATGAGAATTGTCCACTTTGCCTTCTTCCTGAGCGGCTGAGTACGCTTGTAGCACTAGCCCCAATGTATGAATTTTGGCCGGATCACATGCCGCCACGCGCATGTGAAGTGCACACGCCTGATGTAATAAAATAATAATGTGGCTGCGTCGCATAGGCTCAAGTGCAGAGATGGGCAACGTTGCCCGATTCCTTGGTTCGTTGCTCTTGGGCCCACGTGTAGCTCGACTGATTGGATTGGGGTGAAGAGTGTTTTTTTGGGTTTTGATGGATTCAATTTCCCAAGTACTTAGAGCATCTTCAATGGGAGTCTCTATTTAGGGACTCCCTCCACTACTTTTGAATACTCATTTAAGGACTTAAAAGGAATATTTGTGTCCTTAAAGAAATATCACCTCCAATAGGGGAGTCTTTATAGTAGAATCCCTAAATTTGAGGTTTTTACAATTTTATGTGCTAATTTGATTAGGTGCACAATTTTATTTTTGTTAACATTTTTTGAATTAATTTAACATTATGTTCTTGTAAAATATTTTTGTGAACATTTTAACAAAAAAAAAAAAAAATTCAAATTTTGACACTAATTTTTTTATTCACAAAAACGTAACTAGAATGAGTGAATTGAGTACGAGTGAACTGAGTATAGGAGATGAAGATGTGGTAAGTTTTTGTTAGATAATTTAGTATTTATAGGAATAATGAGAGAACAACACGAGAGAGTAACCCAAATTGAAACTATTAATCTTTCAACGGAGGCAACATGAAAAGAGAAAAAAAAAAATTGAAAACCAACATGAGAGAGTAACCTAAATTGAAATGGTTATTTAATTGAAACCATTGATCTTTCAATGGTAAAAAAATTGAAAAACAAGAATTAATCTGGATCCTCCATTTTAAACGGTTAAAAAGAAAAAGAAAAAAAAAGACAAAGCCATATGGCTGGGACCCACGTCTGCTTTTCCACTTAAATTGTCCTATTGGGTCCATCATTTCAGTCCCTATATAGTCCTTATGTGTGGGTACATACACAAAGTATTCGGCGAGTCCCTATACTTTAGGGACTCACTTTCCGATCCATTGGAGATTCATTTTGTCTCTATATTTGTTTTATATTTATTTTATACGGTGGTTGTCCTTATATAGAGTGACACACCCCGATCAAAATTTGGAGCGTGCTGGCCATCACGTGAGGGTAATGTAGCCAAGTGCGCAATGCGGAAGTAAAAGAGTGAAAATACGAGAAAAATAAAGTCAACGAGATAATTTACAATAAAAAGATCAGTGAGTACTAGTGACAAACACGGAAGGAAAATGCAAAGTAGGAGTTCAAGTATCCTATTAAACCATACCACTTTGGAGACCTAAAATCAACAGAATCTTGCCGGAGGAACCTCGATAATCTGGCCAAACCTACAACTCAATGAACTCGAGCTTCCTGACATCCAAAACTCATTGAAAGTTCTACGATCACGAGTGCATGAACAGTGCACCAAAACTGGGTTCTCGGGTTTTTGAAGGTTTCACGTCCTAAAAATGGTATGGATGAGTTCTTGGGCTTGCAAGGAGTCCAAAACCAACCTTCAAACCTTCGATCCGTGCGTGAAACGTTAGCTTCGAAGTTGTCCGTACGATTTAACGAAAATGGAAGAAAGTCTAAGAGAGAAGGGAGAGAGAAAGGTCCATGGGTGTGTGTGTGTGGGTATGTGTGTGGTCCAGAAGGCAGCCGACCAACCAAAAAAACAAATCAAACACCCGACAACTCTAATAAACGTCCAGGGGCAAAATCATCCTTTCACACTAACTTTACAAATAATTCGGGACGGGCTGTCACATAGAGACTCCACAGGAGATGCTCTAAGGATAAGATGGAGTTACTCTCAATACCGAAATAATCTCTAGTTAGAAGCTATATACTAGAAGCAGAAAGGTGATCATAGGGTAATAAAGATAATACTTGGGTATTCACTAGTGAGTACCCACCTTCAGATTTTGCCCCAAGACACTTTCACACATGTTTTATTATTTTAAATTATAATTAAAATATGTATTATTTTTTTTTGGGCTTTGAAAAACAAAGATCACTTGATTTTTTTTTATTAGACCAAATTCGGAAGTGAGAACCTAAGTATTATCTGGATAAAATATAACAATAATGGTAATCAACATCAAGTAAAAGGAGATTTTGGCACTACAGCGACGGAGGCGTCTGTGGTCTGTGGGCCGCTCAATCATCTTTTCATCCTCTCTCCGACGCAATTGGAAAGCTTGCAAGCTTGACGTTCTTGAGTCGCCATGCACCATCGTCTCCCAATTGGTTTAAACTACCTTTTAAAACCTCAAGTAATTGGTTCGCTTTGCAAGTGCAGCCACCCTAACCAAAACTACAGATAAGTCAAACAATTAAAAGAAAAGATTTTCAAGACATTGCGGGAACAAAAATCCTTTGCGCATGCATGATATACGTGACTGCCGATAATATATCAATAACATATCATTACGTTTTGTTGATTACAATAATATCGATGTGTTGCTTTAAAGAACGCACATCTGGCAACTGTTATGTGACACATCTTCACTTCATACGTGGCTGGTATCATTTTGTCAGGACAATGTTTCCATTATTTCTTTCAATCTGCATCTGGCCCTTCGGGTCGGGCCTAAAGCAACGGTGTGTCATAAACATGTAAAAGGACGGGCCCTAGCAGAAAGGATCAAAACAAGCTAGCCAAAGAGATGAAAATACGTTGCACTACACTAGTTGATTACTGTACAGATGTGAGGGAGGGTCGTACGCATAGCAGGAATATGAGAGGGTCTACCTTGTGACTTGACACAGCGTTTTCTCCGCGCCCTTGACCAACATTTCGTATAAGAATTTTCCTTTTTGCTTTCTTACTTGTATTAATTATAATTTGTAATGCTTTCCAATCAAATAAACTAACACAAGGATGTGACCCAAATATTGTTATTACAAGTGGTATCTATAATAATTTACAGTGAGTGAAGAAGGAAAAGTTTGAACCAAGACGCAATGCATTGAAAATAAAAACTTTAACCACCACGTCAATCGATCACTTGCTTAATGCGATCCCACTTAATGCTTTTTTTCTTTCAATCCCACTTAATCCTATAATTCTATA